CGTTTGGTGGTGTACAACTGTAATTCTAATAGCTCAGGAGGCTGAGGCAGGAGAATTGCAAGTTCCAAACAGTCTCAGCAATTAAGGGAGACCCTCAATAACTTGATAAGACCTTCTCTCAAAAAAAAAAAAAAAAAAAAAGGACTGGGGATATAACTCAGTTGTAAAGAGCCCCTGGGTTCAATCCTGGTACCAAAATAAAAATCCCCTCTGAGACATTTTGGTCAATACATTTGCTCAGGATTATTATAAAAATTTTGCTTTCATTACAAAAAAATATAGGCTATGATTTTATACTAGAAAACTTAAGAGACTATTTTTAGGAGTAAAAATGTAAGTATATTGATACATATGTGTGTGTGTGTGTGTGTAAAGTAAATACATAAAAACACCATTGAAAATCTGAAAGTTAACTAAGGGAAAAGATATAATTCATATTATCAACAAAAGTATAAAGTACCTAAAAGTGACTTCAATAAGTAATAGAAAACTATGAGAGATAATTTAAAATTCTGAAATAATTGAGATATACCATGCTCCAAAGATGGAAAGACTTATTAAAATATAGATGTTAGTCATTTCTAACTTGTGGCTATCATACAATTCAAGTGAATGGATGAGAGATGTGGGGGATCTGAAAGTTATTCTAAAGTTCACCTGGCAGAATAAATAGGAAAGAATTAACAAAGAAAAATTATTTTTTGGAGCTTGTTGTAGCACTTCTATTAACCTGGTTAAAAAGGTAATGTGAATGGTGCCAGACATATGAAAGTCAGCCAGATCAGTGGATCAGAGTGGTTCTGAAACACTCTAGTTTTTTCCTTTTTGGGTGTGGTACAGAACATTGAACACCTCACACATGCTAAGCAAGTACAATACCACAAGTTACAGTCCAGACCTAGTATTTTCAATTGTGACAGTAGCAACTATGACAATAATTAGAACTTTTGAGTTGTGTGCCAGGTAGTATTGTAAGCACTCAAACTATTTAATCTTCACAACACCTAGAAGGGGGGTAGCATTAATATCATCATCTATATATCAGATGAGAAAACTGAGGACCATGAAAGTAATTTACCCAAGATTAAAATGTCTAACATGTCCCAGAGACAAAGTTCTACCCTAGATCTATTCTGTAGGATGTAGTAACTTACGTAACATTTCTTTGGAGGGTACATTGTTTCTAGTCTGCCTATTAAATACCGCTTCAATAAGTAATGAAACAGAAAAAGAAAGATGTACACTTGCAATAGTGTGGTAATTAAAACACAGACCCCAGAACCAGACCACCTGTGCTTTATTCCCACGTTTTGCCATTTACTAACTGAAGTTGAAAAAATTACTTGGTCTCTCTGTGCCTCAGTTTCCTCAGCTATAAACTGGAGAATGATACCTGCTTTACAGGGTTGTTATCAGAATTAAGTTGATTATATTTGTAAAGCATTTAGAATAGTGCTTGGTTGATAGTAAAAAAGTGCTAACATCTATATATAGCATAGTATTAATACTAGCATAGAAAATAGTGTTTGTTAAAATACATCCTTTTGCAAATATGTGAGTCAGTCTACAGAACTCTTAGAATTGCTGAGTCAGAAGGTTATAAACATTTTAAAATTTGATAGGTGTTGCTAAACTGTTCATGCCTTCCTTTCAATAATGTGTAAGAGCTTGCCCAGTTTTCCTACAGGTTTGTTTGTGGTGCTAGGAATTGAACCCAGGACCTTATACATGTTAGGTCAGCACTGTACCACTGAGCTGTCTTCCTACCCTATTTTTTTTGTTTGTTTTAATTTTTTTTAGTTGTAGATGGACACAACACCTTATTATTATTATTTTTTAAATTTTTATGTGGTGCTGAGGATTGAACCCAGTGCCTCCCACATGTGAGGCGATTGCTCTACTACTGAGCCATACTCCCAGCCCCATTCCTACCCCATTTTCCTACCTTCTTGAAAAATTACAATGTTAATTGAACTTTTCGACTTTGCCCATCTAAGGAGAAAGTGATAGTCTTAGTTGACATTTCTTTTAAGTGAGAGTAGTCATTTTTCCTGATGAGAGTCATTTCCTTGTTTGTTAATACCATTGTTTGCTTTTTGTCTATTTTCTTTTTCTTTGATTAGGTCTTTATGATAATCAGTTAATATTTTTTCTGAGTTTATTGTCTGATTTCTTTTTTTTTAGTTGTAGTTGGACACAATACCTTTATTCCATTCATTTATTTTTATGTGATGCTGAGGATCGAACCCAGGGCCCCGTGCATGCTAGGCGAGTGCTCTACCACTAAGCCACAATCCCAGCCCCTAATTTTATCATGTTTACAAATCAAACTTTTGTGGTGTATAGCCTTTGGGTTTTAGGTTTTGGTTATACTTACGTTATAAAAGAAGTCTTTTTTTTCTTTCTGATATGGTTTCCTTTTAACATTGATGACTGCTCCATTTGAAACTTCTTGGTATATGGTCTATTATAGATCTTGTTAAATATTCCATGTTTTCTGTACTGATAAGCAAACTTTTTTTTTTTTTGTACTGGGGATTGAACTCAGTGGCACTCAACCACTGAGCCACATCCTCAGCCCTATTTTGTATTTTATTTAGAGACAGGGTCTCACTGAGTTGCTAAGTGACTTGATAAGTTGCTGAGGTGACTTTGAACTCTCAATCTTCCTGCCTCAACTTCCCAAGCTGCTGAGATTATAGGTGTGGGCCACCATGCCTGGCTTTTTTATTTTTATTTTGAGACAGGGTCTCACTAAGTTGTCCAGGCTGGCCTGGAACTTGTGGTCCACCTGTTTTAGCCTCCTGAGTTCTTGGGTTTAAAGGTGTATGCCTCTACACCCTGCTTTGTTTTCATACTCTTAAAGATGGTTTAGTTATTGTTATTTTATGCATCCAATGCTTATTTCACTTTACTCAAATGTTTATCATTTTCTTTGTTCACCACTGCTTCTTTTACCCAACAACTTTTTTTCTAGGTTCAGGGTTTGATGGTTTATTAGAGATATAATCTCTTTAACTGAAATATGTGGGTCCTCCCTCCTATTTTTACTATTAAATAATGGTATAAGCTAGGTATAGAATTCTAGAATGACAGTTATTGTCATTCAGCCTTTGAGAGAATATTTTCAGTGTCTTGTGTTGTTGCTATTATGTACTGCTATTAGTCTAATCATCTTTTTTTTTTTTCTTGTGGTACTGGGGATTGAACCCAGGGGCGTTTAATCATGAGCCACATCCCTAGTCCCTTTTTTTAATATTTTATTTAGAGACAGGGTCTCACTAAGTTGCTGAGGATGGCTTTGAACTTGCGATCCTTCTACCTCAGCCTCCCTAATTGCTGGGATTATAGGGGTATGCCACTGCACCCACTTTGTTCTTTTCTTGTGGCACTTCTATCAGACATGGATCATCTTTGCTTCTTTTTCACATTTTCTTATCCTTTATTCTTTAAAAGTTTTGTGGTCTGTATCTGATCATCTTGTGTGCGTGTTGAATGAGGCTTGATTTTCATGTTTGTAGTTTTTTGATTGTGAGCTCACTTTTTTTTAATATTTATTTTTTAATTGTAGTTGGACACAATAACTTTATTTCACTTATTTATTTTTATGTGGTTCTGAGGATCAAACCCAGGGTCTCACGCATGCAAGGCGAGCACTCTGCCACTGAGTCACAACCCCAGCCCCTATGAGCTCACTTTTTTTTATATACTAAATTAACATATTCCTTCAGCATAGTTTTGTATTTGCACTTGTGAAGTACTTCAGAGGTTTCCCTAGGCTTGGGCAGATTTTTACATTAATTTTTTTTGTGTGTGTGTGTGTGGTGCTGGGGATTGAACCCAGGGCCTTGTGCATGGGAGGCAAGCACTCTATCAACTGAGCCATATCCCCACCCTTTACATTAATTTTCCCAGTGACATTCAGGTAGTAAAATTCAGACTAGTTGGGACTGTGATTTTGCAAAGTTTTAAACCAATATGTTATTTTGCTCAGCATGTTGCCTTAACTTAAAGTGTGTAGTTTTGTAAAAAAAGAAGTTTGATCCTCCTTTTTTTTTTTTTTTTCTCCTGTCCATACTGGGGATTTCACACAGGGGTGCTTTACTACTGTGCTACACCCTTAGCCCTTTTTAAAATTTTTTATTTTGAAATAGGGTCTTGCTAAATTGCCCAGGTGGACCTTGTATTTGTGATTCGCCTGCCTCAACCTCTTGAGTAATTGGAATTACAGGCATGTGCCTTGTACATGGCTAAATTTGCTTTTATTTTTTTAAGTTTTTATTTGTTTTAATTAGTTATACATGACAGTAGAGTGCATTTATACACTTTGATATATCATACATAGATGGGATATAATTTCTTATTTTTTGAGTGTACTTGCTGCAGAATCATATTGGTCATGCAGTCACATATATACATACAATAATAATGTCTGTTTCATTCTACCATCTTTTCTATCCCCACATCCCCTTTCCTTCCTTCCCATCACTTACCTCTACCTAATCTTAGGTAATGCTATTCTTCCCTAGTGCCCCCCCGCCTTAATAAAAGTTAAGATTAAAGATGTCTGAAGCAGGGCTGGGGTTGTAGCTCAGTGGTAGAGAGCTTGCCTGGCATGCCTGAGGCTCTAAGTTCAATCCTCAGCACTACATTAAAAAAATAAATAAAAATAAAAATATTGTGTCCATCTACAACTAAAACATAACTATGCTTTAGACATCTTTTTTTATTTATCTGGATATAAACATAACAAGATGATCATCTGTTTTCTCATACAAACCGAGCATTATTTACATTTTTACAGATTACCCTGAAATTGACTCATTTTAACTATTGATTCCTAGTCCAAAGGGCTTCAACCTTTATATTTTGTGTATATTTTTGTGTATGTGCAGGGGCACTAAGGATTGAATCCAGAGGTGCTCTTCCACTGGGCTACATCCCCAGCCCTCCTTAAAAAAAAAAAAAAATTGGAAAAATTAGTTAAGAAATAACATAACTGACATGTATTAAATATTTACTGTGTGTTAAACATGACTTTAAGCACGTCACAAGCATTTTCACATGTGATTCTCACAGCAACCCTAGAATAAATATCATCCTCATTTCATACATGAGGAAGCTAAGGCACAAGGAAGAAAATCTTGTCTAATCATGAAACTAGTAACTGAGCAGTATTTAAACCCAGAAGGCAACACTCCTACATAATACCATAAAAAAAAAAATTTTAAATTTGGGGCCTTGCTGAGTTGCCAAGGCAGGCCTCAAACTTATGATCCTCTTGTCTCAGTATTCTGAGTCACTTCTGAGTCACATTATAGATGTGTGGCACTGTATCTGACTATACTCTTTCTTTAGAAAGGTGAATGTGGTGATTTGGGATTATTTAAAATGCTGGATGTCTACAGAGTGTCTTTCATTTTCTTTTAGCTAGCAAATACTGCAAAATGTTAGTTGAAGAAGGAGGATTGCAGCTTTTGTATGATATCCAGGAGCACAGTCAGGCAAATCCTCAAGCAAAGCAGATGGCAACTTCCATTCTAGAGGACTTCAGGATGCATTTCATGAATTATCGGAGTCTCCCTCTGAGTTGAAGACCCTTCTTAATCTGAGGGCTTCCAAGGTGCGCTCTGCTCCTCGAAACCAGGTCTCCTTCCCTGTCAGTAACTGAATGTTGAAAATGTTTGTTGGTGTTTGTGTATTAGGTGTCTCATTGACCTTTGTTGTTGATTTTCTGTAAATTATAAAAAAGTTAGATTTACATGCTAGTCATAATCCCTAATCAAGTTGGAATCATTTTTATGGAAACCTCTTTAGCAGTAGAGTTGAAAAACCAGTTATTGTGGACTTTGTGGGGAGACTTGGGAGCTTGTGTTGGAATAGCTATGTTAGTTTTCTCTGACCCTGAACAGTTTTTCCATTTTGGGGAGTTTGTCAGTGAAACAGGACCTCTTTGCTGGGAAGAGGAAGGACAGACCTACAGGGAAATTTGGTGTTTGTTAAATTCCCTCATTTGTTATTCCTGGTATGTGAAGCTACCAGAAAAGAAGTATATGAAGATGGGAAATAATATGTTTTGAAATGTTTTTTTGGCCAGGCACAGTGGTGCACACCTGAATCCTAGCTACTTAGGAGGAGGAGGCAGGAGGGTCACAAGTTTAAGGCCAGCCTGGCCAACTTAGTGAGACCCTTTCTCATAATTTAAGAAAAAGTGCTGGGGATATAGCTCAGTGGTAAAGAACCTCTGGGTTCAAACCTCAGTCCTCAAGAGATGGGGGAAAATATCTAGAAAATGGAACCTGTTGGAAGGGGGAGAAAAGATTTTCTTTTTTTTATCCCCCCCCCCCCCAGATACTAGAGTACTTTCCATTTGAGAGGTAGAGGGAAAAGAATATATATTTTATAGTTTTTGGTTTTTTTTTTTTTTTTTTTTTTTTTTGGCCTTTTCTGAAACATTTTTATGGGTGCTCTTATTCAGCATGGAGTCAAAGGGGTCACTTTTCTGAAATCAAGCCTCAATTACAGCATAAACTCTATCAGAAGCTTTTGTTTGTTTTGTCTTCAAAGCTGCTCTGAGGAATAAAGTATGAATTCCTTCCTTGTCTTATTATTGACAACTGATGAATTTGCTTTGTCATTCATCTGCTTAAGTTTTCGTTTTTTATTCCCCCATAACAGGGATCAAACCCAAGGCCTCGCATGCTATGCAAGTACTTTACTACTGAGCTATATTCTCAACCCTTCTGTTTAAGTTTTCAAATAACTAAACTAAATTCCTGTTTGATTATTAGCATATTTTAAGACTAGAGTTTTGTGCTTTTAGCTGAATTTACCTCTTTTTTTTTTCTATTTACAAATATGGATTTTTTTTTTTTTTTGGTACCAGAGATTGAACTAAGGGGCACTCAACCACTGAGCCACATCCAGCTGAATTTACCTCTTAATTGAAGTATTGTGTGCCATCTTTGGGACTCATTGAGTATGTCATTTTTAGTTACTCTAAAACACATTGCATACTCTTACTCACCAGTGTCCTCGCAGATAAGTGTAATTTGTAACCAAATCCTTCAAACTGCACCCTTTATCTCACACTCACTCTTCTTCATGATTCTAGAAATAGTCTTCGAGTTTCTTGATCTAGTTTCCAGTACCTTGGAACATTGTGTTATTAGATGCTAACTTTTGCTAAAGGATGTATCATGGGAACCAGTATCTTTTTTTTTAGAATTTTTTAATATTTATTTTTTAGTTTTCGGCGGACACAACATCTTTGTTTGTATGGGTGCTGAGGATCGAACCCGGGCCACATGCATGCCAGGCGAGCGTGCTACCGCTTGAGCCACATCCCCAGCCCGGGAACCAGTATCTTTTGAGATCCAACTGTGCACCAGATACCCTTCCAGTTTTGTCTCTTTCACAGCCATTTTCTGGGGTACATAAATTATTCTCCTCACTTAACACTTGAGAAAAAGGAAGTTCAGAAATGTTGTTACTTTCCTGAGTGGTCATTCACCTGGTGAGGCTGTTGCTGATTCTAAGGATTCAACTCCTCTGTGCTGTTCTTCGTACCAGGACACACACATAACCTTGGCACATTTGTATTTAGCAGCAAGTAGCACTGTTAGTGGTATGTGTCCCTGCCAGTGTTTAGTGACTCTAGGCCAGAGTATGTGCTGAGAATGCTCAGCCAGTTATAGGATGACCATGAGGTCACCTTGGTAGAAGAGGAGGGGAAGGGTATTGAGACTAGTGTGGGTGGATTCATGAATACTAGGTCTCCCCCAACCCCTTTATTTTCCAAGTGTGTTATCCTCTTGCTCACTTTTGCCCATGCTGTTCCCATCAACCTTCCTGATGGTTTTTTACGTCCACCCTGTACTGGGGTTTCAATCCAGGGCCTTGTGCTTACTAGGCAAATGCTTTACCACTGAGCTATATCCCCAGCCCTCAGCCTTCCTCTTATTCAAATGCCTGTTACTCCTCCAGGCTCATCTTCCATGGTTGCCTGCTCATTTCCCAACTTTCCCTTCTGTTCATCAGAATTAACTGCTCTCCTCTCTGTGCTACTGAAGGCCCGGAAAAGTCTTCATGTCATTCTGTAGTTTATAAAATGCTTTCAGAGCAGTGATTTCACTTGTTCTCACCAAGTATTACAACATATATTTTGAATATGAGGGTTTTTACAAAAATTCTTTTTAGTTGTAAATAGACAACAGTACCTTTATTTTTATTTATTTTTATGTGGTGCTGAGAATTGAACCCAGTGCCCCACACATGCTAGGCAAGTGCCACTGAGCCACAATCCCAGCCCTGAACATGAGGGTTTTTAAGTCTTCACAACAGATTCATTTTATAGAAAAGGAAGCTGAAGCCTATAGAGGCTAAACGGTTTGTCCAAGGTCATATAGCAAGAAAGTGTCCAAGTTGGAATTAGCAGTCTAACTCCTGATACAGTGTTCAATCAATACTAGGATTTATTTATTCTTTCTTTTCCAGAGGAAAAACACGAGGGCCTTCTTAAAACCCCTTGCTGACTCTAGTAAGTACCTGATCACTGAAAGCCAGGGATTCTCCAAAGTAAATCCGATACTAATGATTATGTAGCCAATGTGAGTAATAAGGAAGGTGGCAGTAGACATGTGATTAGCACCTTGGTATCAGGCACAACCCTAGCCATTTTATGTCCATCATCATCCTTGTGAAGAAACTGAAGGCCAAAGAGGTGAAGTGATGAGGGTCATCCTGCTGCAAACTTTCCATCTGGATCTTGCTCAAGGCATGCATGTCCTATACTTAAGGTTAAATGTCATTTGCCAACAAACTTTGGGGGCCTTTTCTCCCTGAAGGCTGCCATGCCCTCCAGCCGGTCCTGGGTTGGGATATTCTGCAACAGTGTATAGAATATTAGTTTTGAGGAAGCAGAGCCAGAGGCCAAACAGCTGCTTAAGCCTGTCCACCCATAACAAGGCCAGGGTCCAAATGTTTCATTATTTCTGTACTTGGATCTTGGATTCCTGGTCTCCTGGGGAAGGCAGGGCAGCCTCTGGCACCTGTGCCTGCCCACCATGGGCACCTCTTGTGCACTATGCACATGCCTGCAGAGAGGTCACCACCTCCTGTAGCAGTGTGAGGAGGCTGCTTGCAGCAAGTAGTCTAGCAGTATAATTCTCACTAGGTTATACCAGTCCCAACACCCTGTTTCAGAGGATTTTGATATTTTCCTGAAAATCGGCATATTTTACTCACCCAAGAGTCAAGCCAAATAGGTCAGGCTCAGGTTTATAGCCCCTCCATTGGGCACAGTCTGTAGGTTTTAACCAAGCCTGACACCCTAACTCCAGCCTTGCCCCTATAGTGGTGACTGGTATAGGGACAGCAGAAACCATTCTTTCTCTTTGTTAAGTACCTGTGTGGTCGGTCTCTCTCTCTCTCTCTCTCTCTCTCTCTCTCTCTCTCTCTTTTATTAATAGTTTTTAGTTGTTAATGGATCTTTTTATTTCTTTATATGCGGTGCTGAGGATTGAACCCAGTGCCTCATACATGCCAGGCAAGCGCTCTGCCTCTGAGCCACAACCCCAGCCCCTGTGTGGTCTCTTATAATTCTATGGGCACTAACTGGGCAGAATGTACCACCATTAGGTAGTTGAACAAACAGTATTACGGGGTTTCCCTGGAAATACCTTAGAGTCAGAGTGTTTGGGCTTCTTGCTTGGTCATGTATCACCCAAGGCTCCCCTAGTCTAGCCCACCGTCCGCTAACAAGTGTTTGTGGACTAGCAACAGACACATACCTGGGCATAACACATCCCTTCAATGGCCATCCCTGATGCGATGTCCACCTGAAAGAAAGAAGTGCTTGCTGGATCAGCCTGGCTTTGTCTAGCTCCATCCACATGCACTGAGAGCCAGCCCACTCTACTGCAGACACCAGCCTCTGGGAGCAGAGGGAACTCTCTATCTGGAGAAGGAATACCATTTATAACAGTGGCAAAACAGTGCTGAGAGAAATGGGGGCTGAGAACCATGGGGAGAGTTGACGATTCTTCAAAGAAGGGGGAGCAAGAGCTACACAGTCAAGCCAGAGTCCTTTCTTCCTTCCTGGCCACCTCACTATGCCCCTACCCTCACCCTGTCACCCCAGGAGTTAACTGTTGGCTTCTTCCCTTAGGAAGGAGCACCAGGCCTTGACCTGGTACATTCTCTATCCTCTCTTGTCCACTGACCTGTACTGTCCTAAAAATACTACATGTGTAGACTCATTTACTTTTCACAACAAGGGCCATTATGGCTGTTACTCAGCTGAGAAATGTAAGGCAGTAGTAGAAAGGTCCCAATGATAATAGTTTGTGGAAGAGCAGGGCTTTGGACTCAGGTGGTCCAGCACCAAACGTGCGCCTCTCTCTGCTTCCAGGCTAAATTGTTGTATCCTCACTCCACCAGCTGCTTAATTATATACCTCTGTGCCTTTGTTCATGCTTTAACCTTTCTCTGAAATTCTTATCCTTTCCAAGGCCCAGTTCTAGAAAACATTCTTAAACCCAGTATTGCCCAGTGTAGTAGCCACTAACCACATGTGGCTGTTAGAAAGCACTTGGATTGTTGATTATTGTGTAGGGAAATTGGATATTCTTATTTGCTTTTCATCGAGTTTAATAGCATGTGACTAAGCTATGGAGAGCCTCACCCTAACCTTTCTGGGGTGTCTTCTCAGTGCCATAACCTTCCATTAGTGATTTGTGTCTATATATTTTCCTTCCCCACCTAGTGGGTAGTGACCATATTTCATCTCTGTTTCCCACTTCCCAGCTGAGGCCTGGATTCAGTGTAAGTGAATTGGTTTCTAGGAATGGATTAGCTGCACCCAGTGCATCATGCTGAGCCCTGCACTTGCAGCCAGATACTGCCGGCACAAACCCAAGAACTTGGATTAGGAGCCACACAGATCCAGGTTTATTCTTCACTTCTTGTTACCTTGAGCAAGCCATTTACATTTTCTGAACCTCAATTTCCTCTCCTCTCCAAAGGAGAGAGTTGAGGATAAAATGTAACCAAGAATATTGTCTGGCCAAACTTGCCATTTAGTAGATGGGTAAACTGAAGCACACACAGAGAGGGGTCAGGCTGGGAGTTTGTTAGATGAGTTCACTTCCTGAGTTCTTTTCAGCTGTGTTGTCTGGCTGTAAGGATGGGGAAAGTACTGCATCCCAGTCACAATTAACTTTAACAACTCAAGTCCTGACCTGGTGGAATCTTACCTCCATTCCTCTGTCAATGGCTACCTTGCCTAGCCGCACAGCAATGGGGGCCTAGGAAACAGAAAACAGTGGTTGAGGGAGGATCAGTGCTGAAAGGTTTGAATTGAAGGGAGTAACAACTTTATTGTAAGGTATGGGTTTTGGGTCTAGACATTTGGGTCTAGTCCTAGCTTGGGCCATTCTATTGTCAATTGTACTTCATAGCATTAGACCTGCCTCTTAGGTTGAACTTCCTTTTCTACAATGAAGGAAGTAGACTCTGATTCTGACCTTCCCCATCCCAACTGGCAGGGTTTTTTGTCATTCAATCCATCCTTCCAATGTGTACAACATCCCACAGTTTATAAAGGGCTTTCTTATCCACAGACTTGTCAAATAGTGCTACCCATCTTCCAGTCTGGTGTCTTCATTAGTCCCCTGTTTTACAGATATGAAATTGAGACCCAGGGAAGTGAAGCATCTAGTTACATTTATCTAGTGAGTCATCGGACTCCTGCTTCCTTCCTCTATCCCCCTCATCTCAGCAACTGCAAACCCCACTGTTTCCATTTTCTGACTTTTACTTTATGCCCTTCTTATTCCTCTGTTCTCTTTGTTTGCCATGAATATGTTGTTATGTTGGTAACTACACAATAAAGAAACATCTTTCACTAAAGAAAGTAAAAGCCAGGCACAGTAGTACAAACGTGTAATCCCAGCTACTCAGGAGGTTGAGGCAGGAGAATTCCAAGTTTGAGGCCAGCCTGGGCAACCTTGTAAGAACCTCTCAATGGGTATGGTAGTGTGGCACATGGCTGTAATCCCAATGGCATGGAAAGCTGAGGCAGAAGGATTGCAAGTTCAAAGCTAACCTCAGCAATTTTAACAAAGACCTAAGCAACTTCATGAGACTGTCTCAAAAAAAATAAAAAGAGCTTGGGATGTGGCTCAGTTGTTAAAGAGTCCCCGGGTTCAATTAAAACAAAAAAAACTTGTCTCAGTAAAAAGGGGTGGGGGTCAGGTGGCTGGTGATATATAGTGAGTGGTTCAGTGGTAGTGTGCTTGCCTGATATGGTGAGGCCCTAAGTTTGCTCCCTAATATCAAAACAAAACAAAAAACAAATTAGTTAACATGTTTGATGTTTGAATAGAAAACATATCCAAATCCCTTATTCAAAGTATAATGTATATTTGCTACTTAAGGGGGAAATTCAAGTGTAGAGATAGGAACCTTGCCTTTACAGTATTATTTTTAAAATTTATTTATTTTACAGTAGAATGCATTTGCATTTACAGTATTAATAGTTTAAACTCAACCATTTGACTCTATGTTGTTTGTCCACTAGATGACAACCATCTATCACACTGACCTTGGCATTCTCCCCATCCGGGAAACCTGTATCACCTCCACCATCCACTACTGTCCACCCTTATTGGAAATTGAACCCAGGGCCTCACACGTGTTAGGCAAGTGCTCTCTCACTGAATTACATTCCTAGGCCTTTTTAAACTTTTAAATTTTGAGATGCTCAAGCTGGACTTGATCTTGTAATCCTCCTGCCTTAGCCTCCTGAGTTGCTGAGATAATAGGTATGTACCACCATGTCCAGCTCTGGGGAAAAGTTCATTCTGAATTTTCAATAACATAGATGGAAGTTGAAGGTTGTTTCCCTGCAAACCCCGCCCCCTCAAGAAGGTCCCAGCTGTGGAATTCATGACTATAGTTACTATGTTTTGGTAGGCTGATGTTTTGGTTTACAGAACTACTGTTTTCTTTTTTGATACCAGGGAATAAACTCAGGGGCACTTGACCACTGAGCCACATCCCAGCCCCATTTTTTAAATTTATTTAGAGACAGGGTCTCACTGAGTTGCTTATTAATTAGCTTCTCATTTTTTGCTGAGGCTAGCTTTGAACTCACAATCCTCCTGTCTTAGCCTCCTGAACCACTGAGCAGAACTGCTTTTAAGTATTCAAATAATCAATAATTTTTATTAGTATACTGCCATTATTTCAGTATACATGGAAATATAAATCATCTTGAGCTTCTGTTACCCAGTTTATACAAAAAGGCACTATACACAGTCTATGAATCTAGCTAGTTTGATGCTCTCAATGGAATCTGCTGCCAGGCACTCCTTGGAGTTATTCTGAACTCTGTATGAATTCGAAGACTTTCTGACCAAAAGTAATAAGAACCTTATGGCATTAAAGTGGTCCAGGAAAGGTCACCAGAATCTCCATTTAATATAGTGAAACACCCCTCACACTAAAAATGAAAATGAAATTCAATTTTGCGGGAAGCTACTGGGGATTTAATCCAGGGGTGCTCAACCATGGAGCCACATCCCCAGCCCTTTTTAGTTATTCTTTATTTTGAGACAGGGTCTTGCTAAATTGCTTAGGGCCTCGATAAGTTGCTGAGGCTGGCTTTGAACTTGCAATTCTCCGCCTCCGCCTCCTAAGTCACTGGGATTACAGGTGTGCACCACTGTGCCTGGTGAAATTCTGTTTTAAATGCAAGTCATTGTCAATTCCAAAAGTAGATAGTCCCTAATACCCAAATTTTAAAAAATCTCAGTTATAAAAGAGGATTATTTCAGTTTTCAAGGAATTATTTTCTGTTTCTCTTTTTTTCAAAACAAAACACTATTTATGGTTATTGAAATGATCTCTGTTAGTGATATGGCTCACATTTTTACAGGTTTATATTTTAACTGCTTTGTAATGTTTGTAAAGTTTTTGTATTTGAAATGGATTATATATTTGGTTTAAAGTTTTTAAAATTTTGTATGTTTTGCATTCTTAAAATCATGAGTTTTTAATATTATGTTTCATGAAAAATAAATACCCAAATACCAGTGTTTGCTTTTTTTTATGATATTGCAATCACTTTTTGTGACCTTAATGACCAAGTCACTTAATCTTTCTGTGTCTGTTTTCTCAAAAATGATAATTAACTCTACTGTTTTATTCTAGTTAATTGAGACACACTGTATTAAAGCACCTAACATTGTGTCTGACAGATTAAAGGTACTTGGTCCAGGCTGCATCAATATTATTTTAAATTATTTAAACCTAACTACATTTTAGCAGCTTTTATGAATATGGAAACTTGAGACCTTATCCCTCCCACCCTACCCCTCTTCCCCCTCATGCCTCCTGTCTGTCCCACTTAGTGAAAAGCCAGCAGAACTTCTCAGGGCCTTGGGTACCCTAGCCAGCCAGATCCTGGGTATCCTTACTGGAACTTTGGCCCTGCAGCTGGTAGGGTTGATTCTGGGCCAGGCCTAAATCTGTTCCCTAAGGAGCAGTTCTAAACCCTTTGGGAAACTATCTCCAGAGACTATTGTAGGATTTTATTTTTATTTATTTTGCTATGGTGGAGATCAAACCCAGGATCTTGTGTATGCTAGTAGATAAGCACTCCACCATTGAGCCACACCTCCATTACCTTGAAGATTTTAGGAAATTAATGAGTCTTAATACATGTCCTGCATATTTTAAGAAATTAATTATGCAGTGTGGCAGGAAACATGGCACATGGTAGTTTTGCATCCACTTAAGAATCTTGCTTTTACAGTCTTTGGGGATACTTAAAGGCTGTTCTGTATTATACAATAGCCACTGTCCACTTGCCTTGAGAATGTAGCTAGTGTGAGGAGCTAAGTTTTTTGATTTAAATAAGTTAGTTTGAGTCTTCTGCCATCCTGGACAGCAGAGATGGGCAGCATTGCCATCATCAGATATGGACAGTGCTATTCTAATGGTTTTGAGTCCACTGGATTTTAGCCCTAAAGAATTCAATTTTTCTTTTAATTCAGAATTAAAATTTGCTTTGATTTGTTTACTGAAAGAGTGGGAAAACTCCAAAAAGGGTTCATTTTATGTCTTTGAGTAAATGGATGTTGTGCAGCCCCAAGGAATACCTTAGCCCTTGGGGCCTCCAATGTCCCTCCAGCCTGTGCTTGGCTGTCTACACACCTGGGGTAGAATCTCCTGAGCCAGTGCTAGTGCCCGATGGTAGGCAGCATCACCTTCCTTGTTCTGGTCCACGGTGTGATTCACTAGTCCCAGTGCGTGGGCCTGTACGCCACTCAGACGTCGGCCTGTGAAGATGAGCTCCTTCGCCAGGGCCACCCCCAGGCAGCGGGGCAGCCTCTGAGTCCCTCCTGCCAGGATGGAGGGTAAGTGATGTTGAGAAGGGGGAACCCAGGGAAGCCCTATCCTGGTAATTGCCTGGACTTCTCAGAGTTGCAGATTGAGGTAGAATGGGAGGTCAGGGCCCAGGGTAAACTAGGAAAGCAGGCAGGGAAGGGCTTTGATGGTGTAACTGGGCAGAGAGAAGGTTAAGGCTGTAGGCAAGATTACCTGCCCCTGGGAGGAGCCCTCGAGTGGTCTCAATCAGTCCCATGATTGCAGAGGAAGCTGTTTAAATAGAGGAGAGTAAAGTACTCCCTCCCAATCCCATCCTCCATTGCAAATTCCTGTGGAGAAGAGACTCCTGCTTTGGTCTCCTCACCCCTTCAGCCACTTCTCTCCTCATGTGGGCACACCCATGCTTACCCAGACTCTGCCTCTGGAAGAGCCCTAACCTGGAAGTCCAGAGACCCAGTCCCACATCTCATCACCCTCTGTGTAGTTGTGAGTCACCAGCAAGTCTCTGCCTTCCTGAGCTTCAATGATGGAAAAAAAAGGTGATTGTTCCTCTTCTGCCTGATTCAGAGTATAATGGCTTGAAAGAAGAACAGGGGTTCTTCTTTCAAGAAGATGCCTGATACCTACCTCTGTCTTAGTGGATTCTCTGTCCTATGGACCCTTAGCTCTGGCCTGTCCTAGAGTGTTGATGGATTCTGTTCCAATCATGGTTATACCTCCCAGCATTTTTTTTTTTTTTTTGGTCACAGTCTGAAATCTCCCTGATGGTCCTCCTCCTAAGTTCTGCTTCCCCTGAGAAGCTTTATTTGATCCACACACAGGCCTCTCTTGAACTCCCCCAGCACAGAGCATCTGACCCATGCAATGTGGGCAGAAAGAACTGGCCATGTCACTGCTTTGGGGGAGTTTCCCACTCTTAATCTCTGTCATCACAGAAACCCTGTGAATTAATTGCCTGAAACATGTGAGAAGCAAAATTGGGACTATGGTCTGGTACTTAGTGCCACACTACCTGGTCAATTCTTTGACATACTTGGTGTAGACAGAAGCCACCTTCATGCCTGAAGCTACATATTTTTGAGTGCTGTGCCTGGAGTGACAGGAAAAGCTTGGGGGAGAGGTACCACCACTACCTCCAAGAATGGCACTTCACTAATAAGTCAGCAACTTTGTAAAGCCATCAGCTGAGGGCTGGGAATGTGGGGATGTAGCTCAGTAACAGAGCACTTTCTTAGCATGTGCAAGGCCTGGGTTCAATCCTCAGTATCGCAAAACAACAAACAAATTAAAAAAAAACCATCAGTTATCTTCTTCCCTTTCCTCGAGGCTCAACTGCAGAACAAGTAGTGCCAACAGTGAATCTAAGGGCAATCAATATTCTGCTCAGTCACCTTGCAAGTAGCTGGGCCAGTGACCAACTGCCTCTTGGCTCAATCAATGGTAAATAATCTGACTTGGACAGAACTGAAAGGTTGAACATGATCTCTGCCCTCCTTGGCTTCCCTTCTCCATGCTCTTTTTGCTGTCCTGTCATCAGTTGCTCTGAGGTCTGTGTGATCATACTGAGGGAAGCAGTTCTCATAGATAAAGGCTTGTGCTCCCTCTGTGTCTCCCCCTACCCTCCTTCAGCTTTTCTCTTGGAAGGCCAAGAGCAGAGGCTGACTGCAGAACCCCAACAGCCTGTTTCACTAACCCTCCCCTCTTCACCCCCTGCCCATTACCTGCCACTCGGAGGTCACAGGCCAGGGCAAGCTCCAGGCCCCCGCCCAAGGCAAACCCATCCATAGCTGCAATGGTGGGTGCTGGGAAGGCTGCTGTGGAGATGAAGAAGGGTCAGGACCAAGACAGACACCCAGCTCTGGTGAGGGGCAAGCTAGTTGGAATAAGGGACTCACTAGCCCTAGGTTTGGAGACCTCCCTTGGTACCTCAGCCAGGTTAACTGGGAAGTCAGTTTTGCCATGGGGAAGGGAAACAGGGAATGGAGATGCGAGTGGGAGATGGGCTGACTGGGCCCCAGTCTTTCTGTGTGCCAAGCCCTGTGCTATGTGCTGTGAACCCAGACCTGAAGATGTGACCCCTGTCCCCATGGGGCTTAGTCTAATGGGGAAGGCAAATGGACAAAAAGACAATGGTAACCTGATGCTCCAATAAAAAAATCTTGGAGGGTGGGTCAGGAAGGCCTCCTGAAGGAGGATGCATGGAGACCTTGAAGGAGAGTGAAAATTCAGGAACCCAAGAAAGGGTATTCCTGGCAAAGATTCCTGCAACTGTCAAAGCCTGAAGGCCTGTTTGATGAACTTGACTCCTCTGGAATGGCTGGACTTGAACCCTAAGAGTGGTCAATAGAATGGGGCACAAAGGGAGAAGAGTCAGGGTCCCCCCTGGAGTAGGAATGCTCTCTGCGCCCTCTTATAGAATTTCTTGTGGCCACACCCAAACCTTAAGAGTCATCTGTCTACACAAAGCTCAAAACAGTATTCTCTTTAGAGGGTGGGTGAGGAGGGGCTGGCATCAGGCGTTTCCAACCCTGGACCCCAGATCTCACCAATGTCATTCATCAAGCCTCGGAGTCGCTGGACAAAGACCCCCACCTCTGCTGCACTCATCTGCTCCCGCTCCTTCAGGTCCGCACCTGCAGATGGCGAGGGTTTGGTACCATCCCTTGGGAAAATGGCTTGTTATGAAATCTAATCCTAATCCTTTAGGTGGCTAAAGGATCCAGCAAAGGAGTCTTGAGGTGAAGCAGCCAGAGAAGAAGGAGAAACACCAGGAAACAGTCAAGGAAGCCAGAAGGAGAAAGAGGAGTGCTGAAAAAGGAGATATGCAACAACCACAGCAAAAAGACAAATGAGGCCAGTGCAGTGGTACATGCCTGTAACCCCAGCGATTCTGGAAGCTGAGGCAGAGGGATTGCAAGTTCAAGGCCAGCTTCAACAACTTAGAACCTGTCTCAAAAAATTGAAAGGTCTGGGGATGTAGCTCAGTGATGAAGCACCCTTAGGTACAATTCCTGGTACCAAAAAAACCAAAAACAAAACAACAACAACAAAACGAATTGGACTTCATCAAATAAAATAACTCTTGTGCATCAAAAGACAAGAGAGTGCAAAGATGATCCATAGAATGGGAGAAAATATTTGCAAATCATATATCTGGTAAAGTATTAACAACAGGGCTTGGAGTGTGGATCAGAAGAGTTTGTTTAGCTGTGTGTAGCCTTGGGTATGATACCTGGCATATGTCTGTCTGTCTGTCTCTCTCTCTCTCTCTCCACACACACACACACACACACACACAAATTATTACCTAAGATATATAAAGAACCCCTACAAATCCAGAACAAAAGCAAAGGACTGATTCAAAGTAGGTAAAGGACTTGAATACACATTTCTCCAGAGAAGATATGCAGATGGTCAATAGCATACAAAAAGATGCTCACCATCATCAGTTGATGGTTATTATTTAAGAAAAAGTGTTGGCATGGATGTGGAGAAACTGGAACCCTAGAATACTGCTGGGGGTAATGTAAAAGATATAGCTATTTTGGAAAACAGTTTGGTGGCTTCTCAAAAACTTGAGAGTAGTAGCACATCCTGTAAATCCCAGCTATCTTGGAGGCTGAGGCCGAAGAATAAAAAAAAAGTTCAAGGCCAGCCTGGGCAACTTAGCAAGATCCTGTCTCCAAATAAAAAGGGATGGAGATGTGGTTCAATAGTAGAACACCCCTGAGCTAAATCCCTGGTATCACAATAAATAAAGTTACAATTCCAGTCCTACATGAACACTCCAAGGAGTTGAAAACAGGAACTCACCCAGATACTTGGATAGCAGTGCTCACATGGGGCATTATTCACAGTGACCCCAAAGTGAAAAGCACATGAATTGGTAAACAGAATGTGTTTGGTAAACAGAAGTGCTGACACTTAGTTACAACATGGATGAACCTTGAGGACATTATGCTATAAGTGAAATGAGCCATACACAGAAAAGAAAATATTTCATGATTCTAGTTATATAAGGTATCTAGAATAGGCAAATTCATAGGGAAGAAAATAGAATAGAGATAGGTTGTCAGGGACTGGGGTTGTGGGAGATCACATGTGCACATGATCCTAACAGCTCAGACCAAAGAGCTGAGCCATATTCCCTCGACTCCTGAGCATCAGGCTTCTCCCTTCCCACCCCTTCACAGCCTCTTCATGCCTCCCTCATGGTCTGTTTTCCCCTTCCCAACCACCATCCCAGAGTCAGTTCTCAGCTCAGGTCTCTTGATTTCTCACTGAGACCTGCGTACATTTTCCCCTACCTTTGAAACTGAAGTTCATGGTGCTGGTTCTGTTGTGAGAACCAAATAACAGGTGCAGTGGACAGCTTTGGTAACAGATTGGGATTGATTGTATGGGTGAATAAAGAGGCAGAGTCCCATCTTAGCCACTGACCTGTGAACATGTTTGGATTCAGTTTCTTCATTTCCTCAGTGAGGGGTCAGAACAAAGCATGTGATAGCAGAAACAACAGAATGTGGTGTCAGAGAGATCAAGATCAAACTATCTCATATGGCTGTGTGACCCAAGGCAAGGAATTTTACTTCTCTTAGAGTTTGCATTTGTAAACTGGAAATATGTATCCCTGCAGGCTGATGGGAGCCCTGCAGGGGACAGAGAGGGACCCACCTGCACAGAACACACCCTTCACTCCACTTCTGAAGAGCAGGACACGCACTTTCTGGTCCTCCCGTAGCCTGGCCAGAGCATCCAGCATCTGCAGAGGGCATCCTGTCAGTTACTTCCTAGTCCATCCCCAGACCCACCCTGGCGCCCTCCTTTCTTACCTCGCTGACGAAGATGTTTCCCAGGGCATTGCGGGCATGGGGTCTGTTCATCAGAATCTCAGTGATTCCTGCAGGGGACAGGGCAGCCTTGGGTGAGCTGGCTCTGCTCACCCACAGGGTGGTTGGAGGCAAGAGGCCTGGGTGGTGGGAAGCCTCTGCTCTTGATGACCAGTGGGACTTGGGGCAGGTCACAAACTTCAGCCTCAATTTTTCCAGCTGTAAAATGGAGACAGTAATCTGCTCTTTCTGCCTCTCAGAGGAAGTAGAGGGCTGTGAACCACAAAGTAAAATGGGATGAGGAATGGGAGACAACCACAGGAGCCCCTGCCTGCACAAATCAGCACCTTCAATTTCACAGCTCCTTCCATAATTTTCTTCCTTTCACAACCAAACCTCTTCCTCTAAAGAATTAAAATAAGGCAAAACCCTTATAATCACCACCCAGGATCAAGAACTGGAATTGTGCCAACCATTTCAGCAACCCCTCATGTGCCCGGACTCATCCATAGCTCCCTCCTTGACCCCCCAGAGGTAACTCTTCTAACTTTTGTGTAATCACTTCCATATATTTCTTTATAGTTTCCTTGCCCAAGTATGATTCCTTGGACATCACAGATTAAACAGTGCTAATTTAAAAATTTTAATGTCCATTCAAAACTTAGTACAATCCTGAGTCTCCCTCTAGCTTGGTCCTTCTCTCAAAAGTTATTTGTTGAGGAAACAGTAGGGTTTCTCAAAGTCTAGATTTTGCTGATTGCATGCTCATGAGGGCAAATCAACCTGCTTTTTTTAAAAAATATTTTTTTAGTTGTCAATGGGTTTTTATTTTATTTATTTATATATGGTGCTGAGAATCAAACCCAGTGCCTCACACATGCTAGGCAAGCACTCTACCACTGAACCACAACCCCAGCTCCTCAACCTGATCTTCTGTCACAAGAAATTAGCAACTAAACCCAGAGGGATTTTTGTTTTTGATACTGGAGATTGAATCCAGGGACTCTCTTAGTTACATTCCCAGTCCTTTTTATTTTTTATTTGGAGACAGAGGAATCTAATTAAGTTGCCCAGTTGGCCTGGAACTTGTGATCCTCCTGCCCCAGGCTCCCAAGTCACTGGGATTACAGGTATGTGCACCACACTCAGCTTAAACACTTTTACAGTTTACAATAAAATTGAGCAGGGCTGGGGATGTGGCTCAAGCGGTAGTGCGCTCGCCTGGCATGCATGCAGCCCGGGTTCGATTCTCAGCACCACATACAAACAAAGATGTTGTGTCTGCCGAAAACTAAAAAGTAAATGTTGAAGATTCTCTCTCTCTCAAAGCATTACAGTCTCTTGAACCATCCAGAGAAGGTATATGCAAGATCAGTTTAAAAAAAAAAATTGAGCAGAAAGTGCAGTGCAGAGAGTGCCCATGTTCCTCTGTCCACACTGAGGCACGGTTCCCTCACTAGCAGCATCCCCTACCTGATTGGTACATCTGTTACAATCCATGAACCTACCCTGACACATCATCCCTGGAGTTCCTAGTTCACACAAGATTTGTTCCTGGTGTTACCCTTCTTGGGTTCTTTTCTACCCAGTTTGTCAAAGTTCCTTTTTTTTTTTTTTTTTAATACTCAGGGGCACTCGAGCCATATCCCTAGCCCTATTTTGTATTTTTTAATTTAGAGACTGGATCTCACTGAATTGCTTAGCACCTTGCTTTTTCTGAGGCTGGCTTTGAACTTGCAATCCTCCTCTACCCAGTTTAAAGTTCTTCTTTTAAATTTTTTTTTTTTTTTTTTTTTTTTTGCAGTAGTAGGGATTGAACCCAGAGGCTCTTTACCCTTTTTATTTTTTGAGACAGGATTTCATTAAATTGTAGAAACTGGCCTCAAACCATAATCCTCCTGCCTCAGCCTCCCAAAGTAGCTGGGATTACAGGTTGCACAACCTCACCTAGCTGTACATGTTTATATTTAACATGTACTGGCTTCTGTATGAGACATTGATTCCAGAGACCAGGACAGACTCATGGAACTTACAATCTAGTGGAGAAAACAGCAAATAATTATTATTTGTAATATGAACTCATAGGGAAAAAAATGGATAAGCAGGTAAGGGACATGCTAAGGGGCAGAGGCAACCCCATTGTAGGTCAGCTGATTCCCCAGAGGTCAAAATGACCTTTAAGTTGAGAACTGATGGAAGAATAGGAATCAGGCAAAAAGTTTGAGTGCACATGTGTGTGTATGAGTGTGTGTACATCATGTACACATATGTGCATTCACATGTAAGTGCACATATGTGATTGGATGTGCATGAGTGCTGGTTGTCAGGGTGGGTGCAAACAGTCCAGTGTTGAGAGCCACAGCCAAAAGGGGCCCCAGCAAACTTCCAGCTGCCAGCAAACTTCCAGCTGCCAGCTGATGACTGGCTCACAGCGGCCCCAGCAAACTTCTAGCTGCCAACTGATTGGCTCCTCTGCGGTGATGCTCATTGGGCTGTTTCCCTGCCCTTTCAGACCACGGAGCTGCTCATTGGGGGACTTTTTTGGCTCCGCCCATGCGACCCAGCCAATCAGCCTCAAGAGCAGGAGGAGTGGGGGAGGTTGAGAGGCTTGTGGGAAGCCGGTGGTGGCAGTTGGGCTCTGAAGGTTTTCCTGAAGAGCTCGTGTGGTGTGGCATGTGTGTTCTAAAAATAAAGTTCGTTTCTTTTGACAAGTGGCTCCTGAATTGTGCCCAGCCAGACTGCGGCATTTGGTGGCTCCCATGGGGAACAAATGAGGGTAAGTGATAAGGTAAACTGCTCGCCCCTGAGGGCAGGGCAAGAGGATGGGTAGCCATTTTAAGATTCTTCTTTTGTTTTGTTTCGCTTTTATGAGGATCAGCAGCAACAAATTGCATATGATCCTGGCGTATATACGCACAAATTGCTGCAGATGTGGTTAGGGCATGGAAGACTTTACAAGGACATGGAGGTTTACAAGGTCAATTATCTAAGGTAATACAAGGAGCTAATGAATCTTACGCTGAATTTGTAGATAGGCTTATTCAAACAGCTACCAGAGTTTTGGGGAATACAGAACAAGCAATGCCATTAAAAAAACAACTGGCTTATGAGCAAGCGAATCGTTGGTGCAGAGAAGTCATTAGACCATGGAAACATGAAGATTTAAACACATATATTAAATTATGTAGAGACATTAATGAACAAGGGCAAGTCATGGCAGCTGCAGTAAAACAGGCTTTAGATGCCAGGCCAAGAACAGGCTACAACTGTGAACAAACAGGACATTTTAAAAGGAATTGCCCCATAGGAGGAGGGTTTAACAAAACTAGGTATCAAAGGAGTAGAATACCGGGTATTTGCCCATAATGCCGTACAGGGAGACATTGGGCTAATGAATGCCGTTCTCAAACCACCATAGAGGGTACTCCATTATCAAAAAATGAACAAGGACCAGGTGTCTATCCACGATATCGTGAAGAAAGGCATCGGGCTCCATTGCCAAAAAATGGACAGGGGGGCCCAGTGCTCCGGGGCCCAAGACCACAAATATACGGGGCACTGGAGGAACCCAGCAACCCCATCAGGGTAGTGCCCAGGACACATTGTCCATTAGATCCCTCACTAGACAAACCAGAGGAAGTGCAGGATTGGACATCTGCGCCTCCGCCAGAACAGTACTAACTCCAGAGATGGGAGTTCAAATCATTCCCACAGGGGTAAAAGGACCTCTTCCCAAAGGAACAGTAGGCTTATTATTGGGACGCAGCTCTTCTACTCTAAAAGGACTTATGATAAGTCCTGAGGTAATTGATCCCGATTATGAAGGTGAAATAAAAATTATAGCCAGTTCTCCAAAGGGTATATCAGTAATTTCACCAGGAGATAGAATAGCACAGTTACTAATAATACCCAGCCTACATGATAAATTTTCCAGTCGTACTATAGAAAGAGGTTCCAAGGGATTAGGCTCCACAAGTGTAGATTGGGCTATGCTTTCTTTAAATTTAGATTCTCGCCCCATGCTAAAACGAAATATTCAAGGACATGAATTTAATGGGCTACTGGATACAGGTGCAGACCTTAGCATCATCTCTCGTCAAGAATGGCCAAAACATTGGCCATTACAACAAGCCACTCAAACGCTTCGAGGCCTAGGAGTGGCGACTAATCCTCATAGAAGTGCAATGGTATTAGATTGGAAGGATCCTGAAGGATGTGAAGGAACTATACAACCATATGTATTGAATCATCTTCCCGTAAATTTATGGGGACGAGATGTCCTATCAATTAGGTTTGACATTAACAAATAACATCAATCAAAATGCACCCACTATTATGGCTAGACAAGGTTTTAGGAAAGGAAAAAGATTAGAAAAACAAGAACAAGGTATAGCAGCACCAATACAAATAGATCAAGGAACAGACAGACATGGGTTGGATTTTCAGAAAGGTCCACTGAGACAATAAAAATTACTTGGAAATCAGAAAGACCAGTATGGGTTCCTCAGTGGCCCCTGACTAAAGAAAAGATACAAGCAGCCCATGACCTGGTCAAACAACAATTAGCAGAAGGACATATACAACCTTCTGTATCTCCCCATAATACTCCCATTTTTGTCATCAAAAAGAAATCTGGTAAATGGAGATTATTGCAAGATTTAAGAGCCATTAATAATGACATGGTTATTATGGGACCTGCTCAATCGGGGATTCCTCAATTGTCTGCTTTGCCAAAAACCTGGTATGTTTTAGTTATAGATATTAAAGATTGTTTTTTTTCAATTCCAATTCATCCTGAGGATAGTCCACGTTTTGCATTTACTATCCCTGCACTGAATCATGAAGGTCCTGATCAGAGATATGAATGGAAAGTACTCCCTCAAGGGATGACTAACAGCCCAACTAGGTGTCAAATTTATGTTAACAAAGTAATCCAGCCACTTAGAAATCAAAATCCTGAACTACAAATATTTCACTATATGGATGATGTATTATTAGCACACAAAGATAAAAACACATTGCTAGAATGTTATGCCACACTTACAAACTTATTAAAAAAATTATAATCTAG